GGGGGGGACTTACAGTGGGATGACTCCGAGGAGGTACTCGTTCTCTGGGAAGTCTGTCATAGTCGTATCATCCCTCAGACCACATCTCATTTCTTCTCTCAGCCACTAGAGAAAGAAAACCAAAAGCTATGCTTTTTATGTTATTAGGAAGTAAGAGAGAAGTACATGACTAGTTTCCAACACAAATCGACGGTCTTTCTTTTAGCCCTGAGAGAATCTCGAATTCTCTGAGAGGGCTTTGATCCTCCTAGAGCCCTGAAATCATTCCATTTGCCTCTTTTTATTTAGCCTTCACCATACACTCATTTGGCAGATTGCAGACCTGATCAGCCTGCAATAACTAAGGGATGTTTTTAACGCAATAAATTACAGAAAGAAGAGCCAAAGACCACATATACTTCTCCACTCTCATACGAGGAAAAAAATAATTCCATTTATTGCACAGTTTAAAAGGCAAACTGACAAAACTACTTCCCATTGAGCGACTTGTGTTAACATTAGTTTTTTCCTTTTCTGCATTCTTACAGAGCTTACACCTGCTTTCTACATGTTCAGGAAAGTAGTTTTTTTTTTTGGCGGGGGGGGTGGGGGGTTGGTTTCCGGTACCGGGAACCGAACCCACAACCTTGCACTTGCCAGGCAGGCACTGTGCCGCTGAACTTAAATCCCCAGCCCCAGGAAAGCAGTTTTAATTGGAGAAAAGTATTAAATGAACAATCCTAAAATGAACAATCCTATCAATACAGAGCCAATACACCCTAAAACAAATCACAGTGATCTCTTCAAAAATTTGTCATTGTTTTTACCTGGGTGTGGTGGCGCACACCTGCAATCCCAGCACTTGGGAGTCTGAGGCATGAGGATTGTTGTGAGTTTGAGGCCAGCCTGGACTACAAAGTGAGTTGCTGTCTCAAAAAGACAAGAAAAAAAAATTCTTGTTTTTAATACTATAAATTTATTTTAATACAAAGATATCCTGACAAATTTTCAAAGTGTAGCAACAGTTAGAGGGGGTGGGTGTAGGCAGGGAATTAGAGCATCACTGACAGCTGTATACGTACCACAGGCCTATTGTGCACTATATACTAGAAGAAGGTAGGTACTGGAAGATGCAACTTCTTGTGAAATTATCACATGCATGCACTATGTGTCCCCAGCCTTGGACTTTTCCCTCTATCCAGAAACAAAGGCCAAGACCCTGATTGGTTGTTGTTTTTTTTGTCTTTTTGAGACAGGGTCTTGCTATGCAGTTCAGGCTGGCCTTGAGCTCACTTTGTAGCCCAGGCTGGTCTCGAACTGACAACGATCCTCCTGCCTCAGCCTCCTCAGTGCTGGGATTACAGGCATGCACCACCATGCCTGGCTCTGACTGGTTCAGATTACCAATAAGTGAGACAGTTATTTTTAGAGGCCAGCGTATACCTATAAGTGTGAGCAGGGTGAAAACCCCTTACTGGGAAATTCAGTAAGTTTTCCCTATCCAAATAAACCTTTGTATTACACCACTTTCATTTCTAACTTCCTCTTTCGCCATAGAGCTGACATCTGTTTCTGCTGGAATCTTTCAGCTTTGAGCCAGACTCACCCCACTTCTTCCTTCTTTGCTGGAGTGAGGGCATGAACCTGGGGGTGTGGGGTGCATTAGAGGGAGAGACAGACGGACAGACATGGGCGAAGGGTTGTCTCACCTAGCTCCCTGGAGCCAGGCAAATGCTACAAAATTAAAATAAAATTTCTGTCAGCATTATTCAGGTTGGAGAGACAAGTGGGTGTATATTTCTTTCATCAAGAAATGCTTCCTCCTTTGAGAGCTGACACATTCAGGGACTGCACGGGCTGCAGACAGTGCACACAGAGAAGGACGAGAACAGGACAAGAAAAGAGGTCATTACATGAAAGGTGGTTCATGGTCAGGGCTGGTCACTCGCTGCTTGAAGGGACTAAATTCTATCTCTGGCCCTGCCAGCTGACAGCTGGGTGAGGAACCTCTCATTCTTCTCTCTGAGAAGATGGCACTTGATGAAAGGTTGCTTTTAGCTATAATATTAAGAACACTAGCTTTAAAATATCTCATGAACTTTAAAGACAAAAAGGAAGCATCCTCATTCTGGAAATTCCTAGTTTTATACTTGGAAAAATGGTCTCATGTTCAAAAGTAATCCAGAAATCAAGACAACAATCCTTTGACTTTTCAAAGGACATGATAAATTCACATGGAAGTTTGGTGGAGGACTTTGCAATGACTTTGCCTCAAAACTGTAAAGAGCATTTCAGTAAACTAAGATTAAAAAAAAAAA